CTCGCACCTCACACCTAATGAGCTACAAACAAATCTAGCCGCTAGGGTCGAACGACAACCGTGGTCAGATTGACCCCATCCTCACGGCTAACGGGCTACAAGAAAGTCCAGCCGCTAGGTCGAACGATAACCCCGGACCGTGTGTTCCGGCGCGCGCACCTCCACTATCTCCTCCCCGGCGAGGACCTCCGAGGTCGGCGGGGACGCCCGAGACAACCGGACGACGGGGGCGGCGCTCTCCACCCTCAGCTTCCGGCAGGCGGTCTCCCCTTTCCTCATGCGCGGGTCTGGGGTAAACTCCTCTTCCTCTTCCTCCTCTTCCTCCTCCTCCTCCTCCTCCTCCTCCTCCTCCTCCTCCTCCTCGTTGTTGCTGTTCTGTTGCCGCCCCGCCGTATCCTCCTCCTCCTCCTCCTCCTGCTTGTCTTCACGGTCGAGGCTGCCTCCCTGTTCCCCTGCCGCCGCTCCGTTGCCATCTTCCACCGCCATGCCACCGCCGTTGTCGTCACCCTCGCCGCCGTGAGGGCTAGCGCTGCCACTGCTGCCCTTGTCCGGGGGAACAACCCCGCCTGCTGCTGCTGCTGCTGCCTCGGCGGCGACGCTTGAAGACACCCCGGTACCCCCCCCGATCACCTCCACGTCGCCCCCGCCAAACCCAACCCCAGTCCCTTCGGCCGGGTTTCCTTCTGAGTCGACCGGAGATCCTCCTATCGGAGAGACATTTCACGACGCAGCAGCAGCAGCGGCGGCAGCAGCGGTATGGGCATCGGCGGTCTCGTGTACGCACACGCAGCAAACACCACGCCAAACAGGGGTTTACACCGTGTTCGTAAACAAAGCTACTACAAGGACGCCAGGCTTTGTCGCGTATCTCTTCTCCTACACCAGACCTGTGAGACACTACGCTACGGGCAATCAGGGAACGGACCACCGTGCACGTCACCGAGGCCTCCCATTCCACACCATCACCCACACTCGCAGCTGGCTCTCCCAAAACGCACCAGTGATATATACATAAATTCCACCGCTGTTACAACTCTCCGCGATCAGGTGTCGCGAAAACGTCTTCTCCTTCCACACGCAGCTCGCCTGCCGCGCCACTGCCTCCGTTCCTCTTTCTCCCGTTGCCCTTGTCAAAAATCTCCCCAAGGACTTGTGTTTTCTTTTCGGCGACTCCTCTCTCTTTATTTCCACCACCGCACCGCTGTGTCTAGTTCTTCCTCACTTCAGCGCCCACCACACGCACAACAACCCCCCCCCCTCCCCACTCCATCACCACCAACCCCGTTCCCCAGCCTACCCTCTCAAGGTCCCCCTCTTTCTTGTGGGCTCACCTTCCTCTTCGGCCTGCACGGCGGCAGCCGCCGCCTCCGCCTGCGCCGCCGCCGCCGCTGCAGCGGCGGCGATGTCCACGGTGTCCGTCGTCAAGGCCTGCTTGGGCTGGCGGAAGGTGGCTCGGAGGCTCTTGTACGTCCGCGGCGGGGGAGCCCTCGGTCTGAATTATCAGCACACGCGTAGGGGGATATGTTTTTTTTTTTTTTCACGTCAGCAGCGAGCGAACCGTCAGCCGGCCGGGCGCGGGGGAGAGGTACACCCTCTCTCAGGTTCATATTTCGAGCTGCATTAGGGTCACGTGTCCAGCTGCATCTATCTCCGCCACAGAAGGGTTGCCAATCGCGAAGGATGGTGAGTAATCGAGGATAGCTAGCTTTCTACAGTATGTCGGTCTGTCTATCTGTCTGTCTGCCCCTCTCTCTCTGACACTCTAGAAGAGGAAGACAAGTCTTAACCAATGGTGTTTCTTCCTGTTGCGCAAAAAACACCACCATGAAAAATCAAGCGTCCGGGGTACAGTTGTGGGCCTCCTACAAGGCGGGTGAAAATATCTTGGCACAGATACTTCTACCACAGGGCGGGTGCCGGCTGCAATTGAGACTAAATCGTCCTGGCACACACGCGCCCCTTTCGTTATGCATAGGTCACACGATTAATAGCTGTAGGTGGCTGGTGGTGCGCATATCCCGTGCGACCGTTACGGTATTCCACGTCGTCCCTCTCACCCGAGAGACAGCAGGGCGGGTTAAATCGGCCTGGCACATACCCACCCCAAATACAGGGCTGACACTTTTAGGTAGTTGGTGGGTATCCCGTGCGACTTTCACGGTATTCCGCGTCCTCCCACTCACCCGGGAGACACGCCTCTTCCAAACTTGTCGACCCTGCACATGGTCACCAGGGACAGCACCTCCACAGACACGCCCCTCAAGACCACTTGCCCGTCCTC